TGCCTTCAGAGTACTGGGATTAAAGGTGTTTGTCACCAATTCTCGCCTGTGGATTAGCACTTTTAATCAGGATATTTTAATCATTCACCATTCGTTATCATTTTGGACCTACTACCAGGCAGGAAAGTTTTATTCAGATCTGGCCAATGAAACTTGCTTCCTAATGAGTGAGGAAATCCTAAGCAAACCAAAAATGTGTCAGGTGATGATAAATGCCATTGAGAAAATAACACCAAAGAAGAGGGACCAAGTAATTGAAAAAGGTCGTGACTAAATTAGAATGGATGACCATGAAGTCTATACATTGGTAATCAGAGATATAAAGGGAGTTAGAGTGCAACTTATATTTCCTTCAGGGGTAAAGTGTTCATCACAGAGGGAACAAATTTGAAGTACAGGGGCCAGTGGGGACAGATATGTCTGGTGTACTGACCAAAAGGCATTCTCTCTCCACTAATCCCCTCCTCTCCTGCCACCTCTTTTTCCCCTCTCTGTCTCATTTTACTGTTTTCTTATTATAGAGAGATAACATTAATGATCCCTGCATTCAGGAAATGAAAGTTAACTCTTAAAAGTTAATGCGTATGCACACACACACACACACACACACACACACTCATGCACATACACATACACATGCACACACAGTCTCTCAAATCTTAGCACTTGTTACAAATACTCATAAATACACACAAATTACATTTGGTCCAAGAAGTTTATGTGCAGAAATCACACAGGGCTACATGAGGCATGATATACAACATGACTTGACTTTTTTTTTTCTAAGTTGTGGGAATCATTAAAGATTTTTGAGAAAGTATTAAGGATGGACTTAATAAAGTAAAACCCACAGGCTGCTTTGTGGAGAAACAAGTCCATCCACACAATTGTGGATACAGCCAGAACTGTTTAGAGTGTGTTTTAAAATATAATGGTGCATGAAATGATGAGACCTTATAGAAAACAAAACCTTTAGGGAAGCTGTATTGGAAGAATTCACCAATGTATTGGAAGAATCCACCAATAAGGAAAAAGAGAGCAGAGTCATGTATGGATAGATCATAGAAAGCAGTGGATAGAATTTGTACTTATAGAAAAAAAAAAGATGGGAATGTACAAGCTTTGGAAGGCAAGGGAATCAAGAATTTGACTTTAAATGGATCAACTAACTATGAGGTATCTGGTATATATCTGAAGAAAAGTATCTAGTATTTGGTATGCAACCACAGATTTCAAAGGGGAGAATCATTACATTATATAAATATGTGATTTACAAATCAAGTAAAACTCATTTGGTTTGGTGAGGTCTTTAAAAAACAAATGTAGATACATATGACAATCTAGATGCAAGCATGGTGCAAGGTTTAAAAGTCAGGAGGGTAAAAGGGAGTTAGAAAGGGTAGCTGAGATTTATAACAGTGAGTTATCTCAGACAATGCTAGTGTTGAAAAAGAAGATACTAGGAAATGAATTTTTAAACACAGAACCCACATGACTTGGACAGAGAAATAAAATTTGTGTGAAGCTGAACTTGGGGTTGGTCAGGTAAGAGCATGGTAAGAAGTGGAAGCAGAGAGAAGTAAATTTTGTAAGAAATGTCTTCAAGGGGATGGATATAGGGTGGTGCTTTGCTATGTTCTAGAAGTATTCTGAGTCTAAGGGTAGTGTTATTTATTAAAGAAAAACATCTTATATTCTCATGAGAATTAACTACTGAAGACAGGAAATTTATGCAACTGAGGGTTATTGTAGGTATCCAATATCCTTGGGTTTTGTGGACCTGCTGGTGTTGCTTCCTTCAACCATTGTAGCATATTGAAAATCGTAACAAATGCATACAAATGTAAGGGTATGATTCATTCAGTGCAGGAATGGTATGACAATTTCCTGCAGTTATTTCTAATTTCTCAGTGAGTAAAAGGATTATCACTGACAGTAGGCAAAGGGGGATTAGGAGATTTGAGGAGCTGTGAGACTGTAAAATAATTATCCAAAAGAATAGCTGCTGAATACTCTTGACAGCAACAGAGTACGATATGTCACCGTCTAAGATATAAACGCATGAGAATACATGTGCACACACCTGAAGCAAGTATCATTGGACAATATCCTTACTTCATCGACCTTCACTTCAATTCTGTTTTGTTCACAGAAAGTGGATAGTAACTCACTAACCTATTTCACTAATGGATTAAAGTGTGCTGTTTTAAAAACACTCATCTAGAAAAATTGAAGAGGAAATTTGCTAAAGATGTATAATAGGATGTCTGTGCAGCAAAACAGACTACTTCAGAATAAAATAGAAAATGACCATAATCATTGCAAGCAAACCTGTACCATCACACACTCCCTCCTCTACTTAGCTCTCCTGCTGAGAGTCTGTTTATTTTTAAGTCCCACATTTTTCAGTAATAGACTTGAGATACACCAGTTTCCTTTCCATATCCTGTTTTTGTCGCTCCTTTCATTGAACAGATCATGATCAAAAAATTTAAGTGATTTCATCTCTGTATTCTCACTAGCATCTATTTGTTTCTATTCTGTTCCCATAATTTTAATTGCAGTTCAAACTTTCTTGCCTTTCTCTACATCTTATAGTTTGTTTTTTTTCTTATGATAGTAATGGATATCCATAAGAAAGTTGTCTTTCAATACAAATTATTTTTAAAAATGTGAACTTAAAATGTCACTTTAAAAAGATTCTAGCTAACCTTGATATAAATATACATTTCCAGTTATTTTATTATGTTATTCAATATTCTCTGTAATTCTTCCTATATACTTAGACTCATGTATTACAACCCTGCCATGTAACACAACCTTTTTTATTAAATAATACACTATGAATTTATGATCACATCAGAATGTTATTAGTGAAGTTGGATTTAACGGCAGCAGCTGCCATGGTATCCCATGTATGGTGATTCCCTGGAAACATTGTGTTACACCTGTGGAGTCTGGGACATATACTCTTCAGATTACAGACCACAGACAGCCTAATTTTCCAAGTGCTCTTAGTTGCTGTTCTGAGAGTGTGTGATTCTTATTTGTCAGTCACTGAGTACAATGGAAATTCAGTTAATCAGTGAATATGCTAGAAAGGAACTTAGGCAGGCCAATGTCTGGGAAACTGAGTTTCTTTCTTTCTTTCTTTCTTTCTTTTTTTTTTGGCTAGGAATTTTTATTTTTATTTTACATATCTATTCCAGTTCCTTCTACCTCCCTCCTTCCCTCCCTCTTTCCCTCTCTTCCACCCTCCTATGCCTCCTCATCACCTTCCCCTCTCAAACCCCTTCCCCACATGTAGGGTGATTCCTTCCAGGAGGGATCATCTCAATCTGTCAAGTCGTTTGGAGTAGGGACTACGCCTTCTCTCCTGTCTCTAGGTTAAGGGAGTATTCCTCCATGGGGAATGTGCACCAGGGATACATCCTGGTTACACAGTCCGAGGTCCCTTAGACTGCTCAGACCTTCTAGCTGAGACCCATGTTCAGGGGGTCTGAGTAAGTCCCATGCTGGATTCCCAGCTAACAGTCTGGGGGCCCATTAGCCTTTTGCTAAAGGTATAATGATAGCCCTGTACAAATTCCCACAGAATGACCAGTTTCCATAAAATAACTCACAACACTTTACTTTCTCTCTCTGAGAACCAGACTTATAAGAAGCTTAATGTAAGTAAATCTTATAAGTTTTAAAACCTTCCTGTAAGAGTCAATGCACAACTCTTTCCCCATTTTCTTTTAGAGGCCTTCCTGCTTTCCCTAGCTTCTTGTACACCAATTTCTTGTCATCTGTGTCTCAGATGACTCATTAACAATAGACCTTCATGTAGTTTTCAAGTTAATCTGCTGAGTGTTCAATGTTTTAAACATTTCTCTGTGGGAACCTTGGGAGATATTTCCTTTTAGCACTTCATTCATCCATCCTGTGTCCCTTACATTACATACTGCTATTCCTAGGCCTCCCCCCCCAATTCATCAGATAGTTCTCTAGTTGATTCCAGTATCTGTTCCCCAAACATCCTTTCACCTTCCCAATTTCCCCCCCAAAAAAACCCAATCAATCAGCTAGTTAATTAACCAATCAACAAATCAACCAACCAACCAACTAGCCAGCCAACCAACCAACCAAACAACAAACAAAAAGCAAACCAAACACAACAATAAAAACCCAAACAAAACCAAACAAACCAAAACCACAAACAACAAAACCCTTTGTGCAATAGGACATTGCCATCCTTCTGGATCCCTTCTTGAGGTCTCTGCCTCACCATTCTTTCCCATTCTAAACACCATAAAATGCATTTTATAAGGTTTTTAATCCTAATCAGTTATTGTGAAAGGGAGGCTATACAATCCTGTGGTTTGAGTCTAGTATAGAGTCTGAAGACAAACCAGCCTGCTTTGTTATATTGAAGTTAATTTTTTAAAGGCAACACCCTAAACAAAAAATAATAAAATGAACCTAAATCACCCTATCTATAGATAGTATATGATTGCGAAACACTGAAACAGAAAAGAACATTTTTGATTTTGTGTTTTGTGTGTGTTTAATTAAAAGACTTTTCAGAACGCTTAACATGTGAATGCAGTAAGCTGCCCAATACCACCACCAATACTCAATGTAGCTAATACCAAATTTGAAGTTAGGTTTTTTTGTTTTTTAATCTAGGTCATCGCCATACATTGCCATTTCTTGGAGCACACTGGGAAAATAGAATAGTTGTTAAAATTTGCGTGTGTGACTTTCATAGTACTCTACATCTTCTCTGTCTTATGGTTATTTATATATTATATATTTTCCTGGCTGAGCATTGTGTGTAAGATCTTGAAGACAGAACAGATTGTTGAATTGAAAAACATGGAATTGCAATTAAGGTTCATAGTTAGGAACAACATTTGATAATATTCTAAGAGCATGATCTTGTATCTAATTTCAGTGTTTTGTTTTCCATCATTTACATACTATAGTATTCTGGGCTATCTTTTAGGCTGGGAAAATATTAGTATTTTGGTGTTGGCGGGAAGCTGTGGTTAATACCGGGCTAGGCAAATCATCTCTACAAAACACTGGCAGAACAGTCCAAAGAGGAGAATGTAAAGACAGAGTTGAATTTTAAGGGCAGGAAAGCAGGCAACCACTAACTCCAGGTCTTGGAACCCACTAGGGTATTGAAAAGGCAGCTTCTGCCTTAATGCTTGCTCTCACTTCCAAGGGTGTGCTTATCAAAAAGATATTCTGCTAGGCCAGCAGTTGGAGCCCCCATGGTGACTAAGTTGTGTACGTGGTCACCTAATTCTTTGATGGACTTCACCTGCTCATTCAGGTAATGGGTTTCCAGAAAGTCACACAAATGAGGATCTCCTTTCTCTGAGGCCAGAGTATGCAGGTCCAGAAGCGACTGGTTCACACTCTTTTCCAGAAGCAGAGCACATTCCATGGCCCGCAAACCACTCTCCCAGTCGTCTTGGTCTGGCTTCTTGATATCCTGGAGGCAGATTCGGCCTCCACGTTGGTTCTGCAGCCTCATTAGCTTCTCAGCATGCTCCCTTTCCTCCAGGGACTGGCGAAGGAAATATTTGGAGAAGTTGTACAAGGCCACATCATCCCGGGAGAAGTAGTAGGCCATGGACAGGTACACGTAGGATGCGTAAAGCTCCATGTTGATTTGGCGGTTGATGGCTGCCTCAGAGTCTGGGTGAAAGTTCTGGCGCACCCTGGCAGGCCCAGCAGAGTCCTGGGAGGAGGCCACTGAGGCAAGCAGACGTCGTGGGGAGGCTGGTAGGGTACCTAAAGGATAGCTGGAGACCAAATACTGTAGGGCAGTGCATCTGTGTAGCACTCGGGGCAGGGACATCAATGCAGGGCGGATGTGCTTGGAGAAGAACCAGAAACAGGGCAACATGACGCCTCTTGTTTGGAAGTAGCGGAAACTGAGGCCAAGAAAGCTCAGCACAAGGTCTGCTGCTGAGCGTCAGGTCTAAATGAGAATGCGGCCTTAGAGATGACCTTTGCGTCACACGGCCCTTCTCTTCCACGATGCGGAGTTCTAAGAGATCTTGGCCACTGATTCTGTGTAACTGTCATTTGTCGGGTAGGCAAGAGTGTGGCACTGAGCCCTCGAAAATGGGACACAGATGTCATTTACAAAAACACGCTGAATGACTAACGCAAGATTCTGCTGTACATAGCATGTAGTTGATTAGCTTACCTAATTAAAATTCTGTTATTAAGAGTAGGCTCAGTGACTCACTGTAGAAAGGACCGAGCTGTCTTTTGTCTCCGTTCACTAATCTTTACCTGTCTAGGAACCTAAGGGCAAGGAAGGCACAATAAATTTTCATATTCGAAGTGTTATTAATGATTCCTGGTTATTTTGACAAACGTAAGTAGGGAAATAGTTTCCAGCATAATGGACAACTTCTTAACTGTAACAAACTGCTTTTAAAGTGCATTAAAAAAATATAGAACTTACCTTTCATGTAAAGAAGTCATACTTTAAAAAAGCAGAGCACATAGTGTCTCTAAGCTTGTTTTTACTCTTCTAGTTTTGTTAATGTAGAGATAGGTGTATTTTCCAAAGAACCCTAAATTCTTAAGAAGATTTAGTGGTGGTTTTCTATAGTCAAAGCTGGCACTAAATTCTGTATCTTCTGCCTCCCATCTCCCCAGTGCAGGCACATGTGACCATTCTCATGAAGTAAGAACATTTATTTTTAAGTAAATGTTTAAAATTGTTTGGGGGTATTAAGAAAATGAAAATGAACTAATAGGAAAATAAACAAAAGTATACTCTAATTCCTTCTGTACCTAGGGATTAGCTGTTTGTAAATGTGGGTGATGATTCCCACTGATGAAGATGATAGCAAAAACCCAAAACCAAATATCCTTCATAGAGGTATGCATAAATATTTAAAAATATATACCTAAGACTAATTGACACCTTTTAAATTTCAGTATTTGTCACAGTTTCAGTTTGACGTCTGTAAAACCACCAGCTAAACCCAGGCAATGACATTTGACAACTACTTCTAAGTCTTTTTACACTTTGTAATTCTAACTCCTGTCTGGTCTCACTCCTGACATTCACTGATCTGCTTAACCTCACTCTACAGGTTAGTGTGTCTTTTCTGGAGTCCTCTACAGTGTAACTAACATCAGGCTCAAAGCTTAGTTTCTGTCACTCAGGATAATAAAGTCTGTTTATGCTGGAATATACTGATACTATAGTTTATTTGTATTGCTATGCGACATTACAAAGGTAAAACCCAATTTGTCTTGCTGATGAACAATTTGGTTGGATACAGTTTAGAATATTAAAATCAAGCTGTGATTGACACGCCTGCATAGGTGTTTGAGACTTCATATTTTTTTCCTTGGGTAAATATACTAAAGTGGTCAGATAATATGGTTTGTGTTTGTTTACAAATTGCACAACATTCCCTAATGTTCTCGTGCCATGACATTTTTTATTTTACGTGTAGAGTCCAAATTCTTCTTGATGCTTTCTAACCCTTGTCACCATCATTCATTTAAATAAAAACAAAAACAAAGTATAGTCATGATAGGTGTACATTAGTACGGTGTTTTTCATTTGTGTCCTCAAGATAATTAAATGACAGGGTGTTATCCTGTCCTTCTTTGCTATTATTTTTGATGAGGTACATGTTAAGTACTTTACCATTTGTATATTAAGTAATTTTGTTTGCTTGTTTGTTTGTTTGCTTGGGAACCTTGATTTTTCTATTATCTGAGTCTTTGTTCCTAGCACTGATTTTATTAAAGTCTTTTTACTTTTCCTCTTTATAACTCTTTTCTCTTTTTCACTAAGCAAATCACATGATATTTCTAGGTAAGTTTAACTGTTTTATATATGTATATATAATATAATATATTTATATATTATATATTTATATATTCCTAGTGTCCCCTAGGTGGTTAGAAATTTAAATAATAGTATGTAAGTGCTTGTAATACAGTGCTTAACATAGACTGAACACTCAAATGTTCTCTAACACATCTTATTGAACACTCTTGTTTAGTTTTCCAAAATCCATAATGTTATATTACCCAGTAAATAAATATCACTGTGATTAAAAGCAGAATGGGAAGGCCTGTTTAGACTACTAGAAACATTTACCTGCATTATAGAACATTGCTATCATGTGTGAATACTGGGAAATTCTTTATTCTATGAGACTCTCAAGGTTATAGTTTTGTAGTTAGCTCACTCCTCTAAACTGAGCATCATAATATGTATCATAAATAAAAGTGTGTGCTTAAAATTAAGAAGGCAGTAGAACATGATTGCTCTTTACCCAACATCCTTCATGGGTTTTCACTTTTCTAGTCCCGTTTTATTTCCTCCAAACGTTTGCCATTTGTGAAATGTAATTTCTTAATGAGAGATTATGAAAACAACTAGAGTGATATTAACACCAACTTGCTGCTGCTAGTTAGTGCTTCAGGAAAACTTATATCATTCATTTAAGTGTTCATCCCAATATAATAAAATACACGGATAAAACCAGTGCTGTAAGAGATATGTAATGCAAGGCAATGCTCCAAATAGCATGCACTTAGACAGAGCATGCTTACTGGTCAAAATATCTATTTTCTATAACAAAGTTTGCCATGTAATTAGGCAGGCCTTGGAAATATAAGAATGTGCATGGTAGCTGTTTTGTTTATTTTATGAAAATTTTAATTTCTAGTATTTACAGTAAAATCAAGTTTTTAAAAATATTATACAGACTGAGACCATCATACACTATTTTTCTCTGGACATTTCTTCTTAGATTTAATGGTTTCTTCTCTCCCTTGAGTACCTGGGGCCTCCTCCCCATGCAGCTTCACATTTCCCTTCTCTCATTCCAGATTCCTTCCTGGTGTGACCTTATTACATAATGAAATCTTTCTCATCCTTTAAAGTTCCATCAAATATAAACACAAGTATTTTTTTTTAAAAAAGGATTTAGTATAGCAGCGTTCAGAATTAAACACCACTTTGATGTCAAACAGTTAATTATATTGAGAACTCATTGTGTTACAGGTCCAGTATACAAGATGTGTGTAAGTGTGTAAGCATGTTTTCATTAGCAGAGTATACTTTATTCATTTTAAATTTTCCAGGCTTACCACTGAGTTTGACACACATTAACAATGCATAAAAATAAATGTTTTCAGATACCTAAACAAAATGGAACAGAAATTCACACATACACATATCCTTTTGGATTAGCTGAACATACTTATATAAACTATTGGGGGGTGTTGACTGTAATTTGAAATCTGTGAAGTTGCACAGGAAGTCTTTATAATTTGGTTGGCTCATATTCTAAAGGAAAACAACATTTCTTTTTCCTCCACTGTACATGTATCAGCAATAAGCTATTATCATCTGTGTAGGCATCCTTGGTCAATGGAAAATTATAGACTTGAATGGAAGTAAATTGTTTCAGTTAACTCTGGATTTGATTTGTACACTGAATACTATTAAATTTTGTATTACTTTATTTTTATAGTGAAGGTTTGGAGAATTTACTTAGCTTGGAAAAACTTGGAAAAACATTTGTAGAAAAGGGCAGAGTCAGAAATAATGAGGAAAGGACCCCTTTGTACTTGCAGCTTCAGTAACAATAGTTTCCTCATTTCCTTCAATCAACACTTTTACACAGTAGAATCAATCACATAATCAAACACATGTTGGTGTTTTTTTGAAATTACATATCAACATGCTTCTATGACAAATTGAAGATGGAAATAAATCCATAGATGACTGTTGTGAACTCCAAATCACAACCCTCATCTCAAATGGGATGAAAGATAGTTTATTCTCGAGTCAACTATGAATGACCATTGCCCAGGGACACATACTTAGTTTATCCCAGATTCCATGTTCTAATGTAGAAGCTGTTTTGTGAAGGTTTCATAGTAAAAGAACAATGTCAGTCATAAATCAAGGAAATTTTCTTTTTTTATTTTAAAACAATCTTTTCTCATTGTACATGGTGGAAACATTAAGTAGGTGGTCATAGAAATGTGAAAAAAACCCTCAGCCTTGGATGCTATCTGATGACTCAGCATTTTCATTAATGAAAACTGTGGTTTTGTTAACAGAGTCTAAAAAATTTTTTTTGGCTGTTTTTTGTTTTTATTTTTCTGGTATTCTCAGGATGTTAATTCTGACAGAGGGTTCCATTAATGGTGAAATATTTGTTGTGTGTAAGTTACATATGAATTATATGGAATTTCAGAGGTTTGAGTTGTATAATGGAAGAGATTAGTGGTAAAAATTTTGTTTATAATTTAAGAATTTAGCTCCATTGTACTTACAGTGACATTGATAGTCATTCTCCTTGTGTTCTAAAGTAGATACATGTTTTCCTTGGTTATTGTGTCTTATCCCAAGTAATATCAGTTGGTTTCACAGACATGCCTTATAAGGAGTTCTGAACAAATGTAAGAAATCTGGACTTTCAATCCCATGCAAATCATAAAGTGACCCCGGGTACCACATAGAGACGTAGGTTGTCCTGCTCTGGGCTTGAGTTACGGGTTCTCTTCTTAGATTCAGCATGGAAGAGGCAGGAGGTATCCCTATTTGAACAGTGAAAGATTTCCATGGAGACCTTTTGAGGAATAGTAACACTTACTTCCTCTTCACATTGCTGCCATTGTAGGAACTAGTAGAAAAGAAGTGACCCAGATTATAAGAACGCTAAGAAGGTTTGTAATAAGATGATTTACAGAGGTGTACAAATGTTTCCAAAAGAGGTAGGTCAGCACCTTTGAGTTGTTTCAAAAGAAAAACTGGTTGAAGGGGAATTATTCAGGAAAGCAGATACCACACAGAGCCAACCTCAGGAAATGTTGAAAACACTCTAGGGCAGTGTTCTGAACATTCCTAATCCTGCAACACTTTAATACGGTTTCTCATGCTGTGGTGATCCCCAACCATAAAAGTATTTT